CTTCGAGAAGCGGGAAGAAGTCCCAAAACAGTTGTTCATGCGCGAGTTTTCTGCATAATGAGTCAATTTTGGGGGGAGTTTGAGAGTGTTTCTCCATAGTCCAACAAGGGTGGTGGAATGACCTTGTCGGGCCCATTAAGTACCTGCCGGAAGAAGCCTGCGTTCTCGTAACTTTTGAGAACTGTTTCAAGGAGGATAGGGGGATACCTCAATTTGTCACCTTCGTCTGTGACCGAAACCAAGTCGAAAGCAATGCGCAGTTGAACGGGTCGATCCCATGCCGATGCCTGCCACGGGGGCCGCGAGGTATATGGAGCTCACAGCACCGAAGTCCTCGAAGCACGCTTTGGGACCCGGTGGACCATGTGGAGCCGGACGCTGCGGCCTCCAGCGGAATCGCCAAGGTCTTTTCCGCGCGAAGATGAACTTGGAGCCTGGGTGGTGGGCCGGTCGGGATGTGACCTCCAACCGAACGGAGCATTCGGACGCGAACGGGGCGGCATCGCAAACCGAACGGGGGCGTTCGGACCGCTACTAAGAGCGATCAAAGGGTGCATCTTCAGGCACAAAAAACTCGACAAGCGTACGCTCATGGTGGACATGATGGCAGGCTCATGAGTGCCACTTCTGTTCGGTTGTTGTCACATGTGGTCACAGATTTATGCCCAAGCCATCAGACCGTGTCTTCTTCCCGAAGCATTTGCTGGAACCGCATGAACGAAGTTGAACCTTGCCGGCTTGGGCCAAAGCACATGCCACTTGTGGGATTTGTCCATTTTCAACCTGCTGAAATCATAAGACCTCAGGGCAAGAGAACCGGGATTCCATTGTTGGGCCATACCCCCTGGGCTGAGTTAAGCTGGCAAGCTGGTCTACCCACCGCCCTGAGGAGCATATTAGCCTCTACAGCGTCTTCACACAGCAAGATGCGGCTGTGGAGCACCATGGACCAAGTTTGAGTCAGTGTTTGGACTATCCTAAGTCAGAATCAATTCAATTGGTGTGTTTTGCACGTACAGATCCTGCTAAGAGGCTTGCAGGATGGTTCAGTGGCGTTGAGCATGGTATCAAATTCACTTTTCCCTTTGAGACCCCAACTAAAGTCCAAAGTGGAAGAACTCACGAACTCCACAACTTCTTCCTCCAAGCTTATCGTTGGAGGCCGCCATTAGCCCATTGCTAGTTTCGGCCCTGTTGCATTTGTCGTGCATCGTAGCCCATGGTCATAAGCTACCAGGAACAAGTGCATCGCTACTAGGAGCAAGGGCCTTACTAGTAGTGACAAGAAGCTATTAGAAAGAAGAAGCTACTAGGAACAAGTGCATCGCTACTATCACCACTGGCTTCGAGGCATCACATCTTCCTGGTGCAGCTGCGGCGCCTGGTGCAGCTGCAGCTCCACGAGCGCGAACTGGACCTGTCGGAGGCCTTCGGTTGGGCCTTTCAGCAGATGAGCTACGAGGTGGACACATCCAGAGTGGCTCCTGTTGGCTGGTTCGTTCGGATTGTGTTAGTTCGTATTGGCTCCTCTTGGCCGGTTTGGACGCCGAACGATTGGATGGAGGTGGGTGCAGGCCAAGATTATTGGGCGATTCCTAAAAGAAAGACTGATTTAAACTAAAATCTAATAGCTTCTTGTTACTACTAGTAAGGCACCTGTTATTACTAGCGTGGCACTTGTTCCTAGTAGCTTCTTGTTACTACTAGTAAGGCACCTGTTATTACGAGCGTGGCACTTGTTACTATTAAGAATAAAAAGTTTCGGCGATGGCCTCCCCCTACTTGCGCTTGCTTCCAACCTACTAGCGATGGCCTCCAACCTTGCCTCTGAGTTTTGGCCTGTTCGACATCAGAAGTGGGTGATTCTGGATGTGCTTTCATGTGAGATGCATTGGGGTGCTTTGAGACCACTCAGACCAAGAGATACCAAGAGAATCAAGTGGCGTTCTCCAGTTTTGCGATCTTTGCAAACGATGCATCAGTTGTCTGGCAATCCATGAGCATCAGTTGCGTTCTGGTCCGGTGCGGTGGTTTTGGCAATTCATGTTTGATTCGATCAAAAAAGTCCGATTTGTTACTACTAGTAAGGCACCTGTTACTACTAGCGTGGCACTTGTTACTACTAGCTCTTGTTTCTTTTTAAGATTTTAACCACACGTCCTTAAAAAAGACTTGCAGTTTGCCAAAAGTGGTTGTTGTTGCTCATTTTCTAAGCATCCTCCCCATGCCCCGATGCACAAGGCGGCCTCGCCGGGGCGCGCGGAGGGCTTTGACCGGTTTCTGCTGCGGCGAGGGATCCGGAGCTACTTGACGATCCACGTGGCACGGTGGTTGGGGTCTACACACGTGACTTCACCGGTCTTGCCACTCATGGAGGTGCGATGACGGGTGGGTGGAGCCGGCGAATGTGGAAGGGCATGATGTTCGTAGGTTTGGGGTGGAAAACATGAGGGAGGTCAGGAAATTTGCTGGAAAGAGTCGTGTTGCCCGTTTTTCTTCTTGAGACAAGGTAAAGGTGTTGGTTAGAGAGAGAGAGAGATGGTTTCGAGGAATAAGAAGCAGAAAGATCATCCATTGCAAGCCCTCGGGCCCTGACATGAGAACAGACCTGAAACCCCGATGCAAACCACGCCCAACCGGATGGAACAGCGGCAGCGCCGTTGTTCCGGTGGATGACGCTTGGTCTCCGATCCGCGGTCACGGTCACCCTTTTCCAAGCGAATCTGGGAGGTCTTGGATCTTCGGAAGCGCTTGCTGCTGGCGCGAGATCGGGGTTGGGAACACTTCCGAAGCGAATGGATCGCTATGATGCAGAGATCCTCGCGAGATCGGGGGTTCTGCACTGGGAACATCAGGGAAACGACCGGTCGTTTCTGCTTTTTGAGAAGAGGGAACTGCTGAAGCGAGTTGTGGTTGGTCAATGGGAAGGGGAAATACCTAAGAAATCATGTTGGCCAAGTGGGGAACTTGGAGGGGCAAGCTGGAATGAAGCACAAACCCTATTTGAGGATGTGGTTTGTCGCGGAGGAAGAGGTTGCAAGAGCCCGCACAGATGGTGGACGTGGCCCATCACAGGGCGTGCGCCAAGAAGGTCAAGGTTGGTTTCCTGGACAGCATCTGAAAAAAGAAAAGTATTACCCAGAGTTGACTAGGTTGGAGGCCATCGCTAGTAGGTTGGAGGCCATCGCTCTTCGAAGAGTGTCACGCAACCGAGTGCACGGGAGAAACACCTCGTCAGTGGGACATGCCGTGGTGAATTCCTGGGACAACGGAGGGAAGTCATGCCCTCCTTCTGGAAGTGTTTAAATAGAGGTTCCAAGCAGAATCGTGAACCTAATAGCAATGCCCTCCAACCTACTAGCAATGGCCTCCAACCTAGGAACAATGGCCTCCAACCTAAGAGCGATGGCTGCCATTCTGCTAGCGATGGCCTCCAGAGGTTCCAGGCAGAACCTTGAAAATAAGCAACGGCTGCAGGCTGATATGTTCGAGAAAACCTGTTTTGTTGAAGCTGAACGCTCAGAGTCTGGAAATTGCTGAGAATTAGCCTCAATAGTTTAACCTTGACTCAACCTTGAGCACCAAGCAATCTTCGACGCATGTTCATGTGCAACCCGTCTACTAAGTCGCTTGATTTTCCTTTATAGCTTCCAGTGGCTGCTAGGTTCCTTGCAAATCGTTGGGCTCGACGATGTTATAGACCTTTTGACAAGGTAAGATGGTCCTCAGTTCACTAAGTCATCCACAAGCACAGAGCTTCAAAACCAGGAATACACCAGCACATCCCAGATACATTGTTGATGAGAAAACAGACAAGGCATACTTGTGCAGTCGCTCAATCTCTTGGATTGTAATTTTCTGTCCATGTGTAAGATTCGTTTGGGCACGTAGGGGTGCGTCCAACTGCCCCGCCCAGGTTCCAAGCGACGCCTTCTGCGCGCTCAACTACCATCGCCGGAGCTGCAGCTCCAGCGCACGCTGCGCGCGGTGCGCTCGGCGGAAGTCGCCTTGGCAAGAACCGCACGGTGCGCCGCACGTTCTGCGCACGGAGCGAAGAAGCCAAGGAGTGGAGATGTGGGGGGGCAGTTAGTCCAAAAAAGGTTCAAATGTCATACGTATGTCATGTGTCGCTTGTTCATTCTTGGGAAGGGTAGTTAGTCCAAGTGACATGCCAAAAGTGGTTGGCCTCAAGCAGATGGATTTTGTTCGTGTCCAAAGGGAGGCCCGACAGTTTTGAAGATTTGGTGTGAAAACCATTCCAGTTATCTGAATGGTGAAGCTTTGAGATATTGGACCATCGCTGGTAGGTTGGAGGTTATCGCTTTCAAGTTCTTAATGGCGAAGCTGTGAGACTTAGATTTGAGTTGAATTTCAGTTTTCTCATTCTCTGCAGGAAGGAGATGTCTTTGTCGGCCGCTGAAATTCGTGTGTCCTCACCTTGAAGCCCTATGGGTTTCAGAGTTCTCTTTCAGACTTAAGAAGAATGTGATAGTCAGAACGTCCAGGTGAGGTTGGTACCATGTATGGAAGTGTGGGAAAGCTTGTACAGAGCAGCGAAAAGTTCGGCTGCGATGACCTTGGAAGACTTCGGGTGGCAAAACTTGCTTCATGTCAACGGATTGCGAGAAGACAGTGGGTGACTGCTTCATAGGATCACCCGAAAGGTGTTGCTCAAAGATGGAAAGCCAGGAGCCCCCAGTAGCGTCCTTGCTCCTAGTAGCGATGCCAGTGGATTCTTCGTCCTCCTTTCAAGTTCTTAGCCAGGGCCCTCATTAGTAGATTTCCAGGCATGTGACTATATGTAACTCCGCTCGTGATGGGGTAGCTGAGGCCATAAAAAGCATTTGTATTCTTGTAGTTTATGTCCGCATTTGGTTGAGCTCTTGTGATTCCCTACAATTACACAACAAATAACCGTGAGAAACGTGACGTTCACGTAAAATGAATCAGCTCATGTTGAAAGCAACTCCTATCTATTCAGCGCCTAGCTTTCTCGCCTGAGCTTTGGCTCTGAACCGGCTTTCGTTTCCCGGTTACAACAGTTTCGCCTGTGGACCGACCGTTGAACAATGCCGCGCCGCCCGCGTCGTCCGCGTCCTGCCGCCCGTGCTGCAGCCCTTGCGGCGCTGGCGGGTGCGGGCACCGCGTTCGCTCCACAGCTGCCACAGAGAGCACCTGGAGGGCGGAATTGGAGCAAGAAGATGGTGGGGCCCATCAGTCAGGCTAGGGCCGCTCGGGGTGTTTCGGAAGGTGTTGGAACCCTTCTAGACTCGGAGCACACACGGCCGCGGTGCAGCATCCTTGCGCGGCTGCGGACAAAGCACCGATGCAGATTGAAGAAACTAGTGCCTGGGAGTTGAATGTGGGGCCAACCAGAAACAAAGAAACTTACAACAAGGACGCTACGAACGGGGCGCTCCTGGCCTTACTACTAGGAGCGATCGGACGCTTCGGGCCCGGGCTCCTGGCATCGCTACTAGGAGCATTCTTACCGCTAGGAACAAGAAGCTGCCATGGCCTTTCAGATGGAATCCTTCCCTGACACGTTTCAACATCTGCAGAAAATGCATGAAAATGCATGGACCAAGGAGAAGTCTTCCTTGGACCAAGGAGAAGTCTCCATCCACCTTACTTAAAAACGACAAAGGCACCCGCCGCCCAAGAACGAGACGCGACCTGCAAGCCGTAGCGACCCGCGAGCCGTACCTTCAGCCGTTTCAGTAAACCAACGCTTTGGTTTTACCGTTGGTTGGGTCCAAATGTATGGAAGACTTCTCCTTGGTCCATGCATTTTCATGCATTTTCTGCAGATGTTGAAACGGAAACGTGTCAGGGAAGGATTCCATCTGAAAGGCCATGGCAGCTTCTTGTTCCTAGCGGTAAGAATGCTCCTAGTAGCGATGCCAGGAGCCCGGGCCCGAAGCGTCCGATCGCTCCTAGTAGTAGGAGTTAGGGAAATGCAGAACGGTCCCAAAGCAAAATGTATCGTTCGACGATACGACGAACGCAGGCAGCCTACGCGACGATCGTGTCAAGACCGGTTCCCACCGCCTTGGGCGCTGGCTTGGTGGCTGCTTTGCTCCAGGCAGTCGAAGAGAGGGAGAAGTAGCCCCTAGCTCCTAGTAGCGATGCCAGGAGCCCCTAGTAGCTACTTGCTCCTAGTAGTACGGCCAGGAGACCCTAGTAGTTAAGGAGGCGCATAGCGTTCGGGTAGGTCAAGAAAACCTTATTGTTACTAGTGACATTTTAAGACGTTTTTTTGTTTGTGAACCTGGGTGTTTCTTTCTGTTTCAGGCACCCTGTTGGATTCCTCGTAGTCTCGGCTTCAGGCAGCATGTTTTGAGCATGCCTAGATTCTCAAGCTAAGATATTCAAGCTGATATGTCCGCATTGCAAAGAGTTTGAATCATGTGGAAACACTCCACCGATTGACGCCTGGACACGCATGGTTGTCGAGGACACTGGCTGAGGGACAAACTGACAGTGATTTGACGAAAAGAGGTTTTGCGGCGCTGTGCCCCTTCAGCGACTTACGCCTAAACAATCTAAAATGTGTCCGTGCTCAAGCAGAAGGCTTGTTTCCTCCTTTCCGGTCATGACGTGTTTAAATGCAAGCATCATCCAGCTGTTTGCGGTCTCTCCTTCATGTCTTCCAAAATGTCGATCGACAAAGCCGTGATGCTCCATTGACAAGGCAATGGTGTCAGCGGTGGTAGAGCCCATCGGCAATCGGGTTTTGGTCTTGAGGGTCAAGGTGATCCAGGCCATCAAGGACGACCACTCCAGCGTGGCATCCGGCATGGAGTGACAGAGTGAGTGGAATGCAAAGATGGGAATCACAAAGAATGAGGAATACTGTTCCTCGTAGCTTCTTGTTACTACTAGTAACAAGTGCCTTGCTACTAGTAACAAGTGCCTTACTACTAGTAACAAAAAACTTTCAGAATTAAACTAAAATTAAGTTAAATTAACTAGTAGCTTCTTGTTACTAGATGTTACTAGTAGTAAGAATGCTCCTAGTAGCGATGCCAGGAGCCCCTAGTAGCATCCTTGTTCCTGTAGTAGTAGCAAGGCCAGGACTGAACATCTCAGGGGTCCTCAGGTTCGGGTTCTTCTTCAAGCTTGATGCTGAGCAGCTCAGGGACCATACCATCGCAAATCTGTAGAGAACAGTTTGAACGTTTGATAGTTCAAGGGACGGTAGGAGTGCAGGATTGGGATAGAGCTGCAAACGATGCCGCAAGGAGTCACAGCCCTCGGCCATGCTGAGATTCTTCAAGACGACCCTGGTGACTAACTTGCTGCAGTGGCGTGACCATTCAGTGTATTTTTCGAGAAAGCTTTGGGTTTCGGGCTTTGGCCTTGCACACCTCCATTGTTCATGGGCTTCAACAATCAATCAAATGCTGCTTACATAGGTCTTCCCATTGCCACTGGAGCAATCTTCCCTCCGTTTCTACTCTTAGCTCTTTCTACTTAGTCTTTTCACAACACATCTTCAGAACGAGGCTGCCGCTCTTCGAAGCAGTCCTGGCCTTGGCCTCGGCCTTTCCAGTGCCGGCCACGCTGCAAGGGACCTTCACCGGCTTCGTTTTTGCCACGGCACCTTGGAGTGATTTCGGATCGGTGAAGAATTCTACATGGTTCGGTGTGGCGTTTGTCGTCATTTGCAATGAAAATGGGAAGGGCTCAGATCAATTTGATCCTGGGGGGTCGCAGTGTGGTGATTGAGATATTTTTGATCTTTTGGATGAATCGCTGTCATTCTGAACATTGAAGTAGTTACCTAGCAATTGATGGTAGAGATCAATGCGGGATTTTCAATGCGGGATTTGGGCAGTTGCGGGCCTTGCAGCTAAACATTAAGCTACTCGCTGATCAGCACCTTGCTAAGGTCACATTGCCCATCATGAACATCAGAAACTTGGACAAACCCCTCGTGCTTGTGCATGGAGGTCGCAGGTAGTTCAAAAGTAAGAAGTTGCAAGATGATTGTTTGAAATGTTTCTCGGTTTCTCATTCAGAAACACGTGCTGAGGAAGGATTGCAAATAAGCAGGCATTCCCAAAACGTTCTCTTTTGGTGAGCAACAAGTTTTTTGGTTTCTGCCCACCGCATCAAAATTGCTCCATTATGGTGCGAAGGCGGAAGTAAGCACAGAAGTTAGTGTGCATCATCTTGCTCAAAGCTGAGGATACCGCAAGTCGATGCAACTGCCAGTGCACCTTAGCAATATCTACGAGGCTTACATTCCAACTGCCACCTGTCAGAAAGCTCACATTGGCTGAACGCTTAGAGCTAGAGCTGTGATTGCGGAATGGAAGCATAGTTGCTTTTTTGATTGGATGAACAACTACGCACCCAAAATGAACTCTTGGCGGGACAAGTTGGCAAGGGAGTTTTTCAAGTGGTAGTGTAGAACTTCAAGATTTGAGGATTGCACAGCAAGACAGATGCAGCGTGGACCACCATTCCCTAGTCACGAAAGGTAGCCTGGTAAGGACTACCTTGAGTTTGCTTTGCGAAGAGCAAAGGGACTGGCTTGAGAGACTGCTCGGGACTAAAGATTGGTAGATCAATGTCTAACACCCCCACCCCCCCCCTCCTCTCCCATGTGATGATTCATTGATAAATCAATTGTTTTGCACCCCCCCCTTCCCCTCCACTCCCCTCCACTCCCCTCCCCGTCCCCTCCCTCACCAGCACTACTAGCATTCTGGACACACCATCACACCATAAGGTGAAGTCATGCGCTTAGCAGTCACAGCAGTACGACGCTGGCCATGAGGTTGCGCAATACAGCACGAACCCTGCACAATGAGGTTGCGCAATGCGGCTTCGATGCTGTGCGCGCCCGGCAGCCTGACATAGCGCATACTGCGTTCACAGACCATATTGCTCGACACCAACGAGCATCGATGCAACACAGCCTCTCCGCAAAGCCCTGTGGAGAAACCTCTCGCTTCGCGGAGCCTCGCGTGGCCACATCTTACCGCATCGTGGAGCACTACTACACAGCTATTTACGCACCCTTCCCATCAGCCACCCACTATAGCGTGACGTCCATCCCTGGCAGTACCGGCGGCTTCGGCGCAACGCGTGCAGGCCTGTAATCCTGACACAGTGCGTGTAGCTGTGGGAAGATAGCTGGTTAACATGCGAGCGTTTACGCATTGCGACTTTTACGTGCGCCTGTTTTCACACACCTTTACACAAACGAGCGTCGACGCAACGCAGCCTCTCTGCAGAGCCGGGTGGCGCAATCTGATCGCAACGGTGTTCCTCTTGAGCCTTCTTGTGCTCTTTGGCTTTGTTGGTTCCATCCATGATTGACCAAGGGGAACGCTCCTGAAACACCGGAGACAGCCCCTCACCAGACAAGGTCCCGACAGCTACCCCATCCCTCTCTACTTTTCGTGTTTCCCCGCTCAAGTAAACATGGAAATGTCAGGTGTCCTCACCTCACAATGATTTTCTAGCCCCATCAATCCTTGAAGGAGTGCAGTGGGTTCCTTTGCAGTTTGATTCAACATGGGCTCACTAGAGGCCAATGACATCACCCGAAAACAACGCTGCACCAGGTTGGCCGAGATATGCTTTATGGTGCTGTTCGAAGATATGCAACGGCCTATTTGGTCGGCTTGGGTGGCGCCAGCGTGTGCGCCACATCACCAGAAGTGTTGCTGCTGGCAGTGGTGGCAGCCCGGGTGGCCTCAACGCCATTCAACGAGTGGCGCGGCTATTTGCTGCAGACCAAGCAAAGCCGGCTCACCATCCAGGTGTGGTCACAGACTTCTTGGAATTGTCACATATTTTTCATTTACCACACAATTCTTTTCTGCAACCCCAAGGTCAAAGTGAGACTTGTGATAGTTGAACAGGGCGCAATCCTGCATGTGCAGTGTTTTTTTCTCTTTCACAAGCAGTGGAGGGGTTTGGGTTTAACGTTCTGGCTTCGAGATTCTCAGTCGACATGCTCATCCATTCCGTTGCCGAAGGAGTTCTTCAAGCTCAGCAACTTTGCGCGCTCGACCATTGTTGGCATATTGCAAGGATTGACGCTGGCAATGGGATACGCTGTGGGCCGGGCCTTCTTCTAGCGGCAGTCGAACTAGGTAGATCATTTGGCTTTACTTTCCAAGTGAGTCACCCATACAAAAAAATGTTTTTTTCTCAGAAGGTGGCATTGAGGCCATTTGCATGCGCACTGCCAGAAGGCCCTTGCCTGAAGCTAGGCCTGGTTTCAAGAGGCCAGCCCTGCTATGAACCTTGAGGATCCCAATCTAGCTTGGGAGCTCATGGTATCGAATTTGGATCTTGGAAAACATGGAGCTGCATTTTTGGACATTCTTGGGAAAGACTTGTAGCCACGAAGCAGCCTGCCTTTCAGAGATCCGAAAGTTTGACGCTCTCGAAAATTTTTTTCACCAAAGAACTCTTTGATTCTAGTGTTTCAGAGAATTTGCTTGGAAGTTCTGTGGTGCTGATCCCTGTGGTTTGTTGGCTATTGGTGAAAAATTCTTATCACTTGAATCTTTGACTATAGCCATTGAGAAAAACGAAATCAAAACCAAGTCATTTCAATATGGATATACTCCTGATCGGATCTTGAATTGCTGTAAACCAATCTTCCATTTGTAGGACCGTTTTGGCTTGATATGTCATGGTTCGTTCAATCTTGGCACTGTGGTTATAGGTGCTTGATGAAGTGCACGCTGTAATTCTTCAAATCAAGGAAGGAAAAATGTTCAGAGGCGGGAATGGTCATTGTAGAGAATAAGTGTTTGATGGTTTGTGGATTTTTTGGTTGGCTAGGCTTTGACGGCTACCAAAAAGCGGCGCATAGACTTGTGCTTTGGAAACTCTGAGTATGGGGCCAGAGTTCAGGTGAAGGCGCAAAACTGCCTCTCAAATGTTTGGTACTTTGCAGCGCCCTGCTAAAATCAAGAAAGGAGCTTTTCAACGCAAGGCCTTACCTTTCATCAAGATCCTATAACCCCGCCCCTCTTCGAGACCTGGAAGACTGGGCAATCCGATTTGACACGGAAACGACACCGTTGACGAAGCCCTAAACTGCAGGTTCCTGCTGCCAGCACCACCTTCTCCACCACCTGGAATCAAAAATTGGAAGGACCTTCTCATTCTCCTGCAACAGAACGTGGCGGCAAACACATACGCCTACATTGTTACACCAAAACCATCAGCATTACAACTCCCAAATTCAGGCCCGGCCACCCCAGCTCCATCGCACCTCGATTTTGCTTAGCGCCGTCCAACCACACGCACGCTTTTGAGCACACTTGCCTTGGAGGCGGCTGAGTAGGAGTCAGGTCTTGGGCCGCCTCCGGAAAAGATCTGAATTGGAAGAGATCTATTCTCCGTGTCCACGCACCTGCAGTAACCGCTGACGCTTGGTAGCCAATAGCCTTTATGCTTTGGCAATTTGCTTACATAAACGCTTCATATTAGCTCGGCATTGCTTCAGCTGCTCCAATTCTTGGTGTAACAAGGCCTTAAATTCAAGGCGTTAGGCAAAACCAAAATATTCATAGGTGCTCACAACCGGTCCTTTGGAATATATTATAGTAAGAATAAAAATAAATAAATATAATTTAAATATATCTTATTGCCTTTAAGATAATAGAAGGCTTTTATATTTAATTCTTCTTATTATTTTATGAAATAATTTTGGAATTTTTATAAGCTTAATAAATTTAGAATTAATAAAAATAAGGCATTTTGAATCGTATAATTCGATTTTCCATGTCGTTGCGGTTTTATTTGGGTATTCGAGGAATTAGTCGTTAATATAGATATATCGATCGAAAATTTTCTTATAAATATTAGAAGAAATCTTTCTACCGAAACATGTAGAAGACGTATTGAGTGAATGGATTATGAGTATTTATGAAATGATTCGGTTTGTATAAGATGTTGTAATAGGAAATATTGTGTGTTAAATAATTGAGAGGTAATGATTTGTATGGCTTGAAATCGTTATGCCTAAAGAGGTATAATCGTTGATTTTACTTGATTTGATTCAAGGACTGGAAAAACTAAGGTTCGTTGCTCGCTATCGAAACGTCGTATCGACTGGTTGACGGAATGATTGAACATTGTGTTGAAATTCTAGGGAAAAGTAACTTAATTGGTTATTAGCCGCAAAGAGTTACAAGGAGACCATTGGTTGAAGAAAAGAAATCATTGTTCGAACACTTGGTGCCTCGCGCTTCCGGGCGCGATTCATGTTACCGCGAGAAAGGTCGCGGCGATGTCGTGGCCTACGGGGTGTAATCTTAATAGACCGAGCCAGCAGTGCAGAAGGGAACGTGGACTTCCGACAGAGGATAGAGATAGGGAATCCGAAAGAAGCGCTTAACGACGTGACCCTTGGCTTGACCGTGGTCGTGATCGCGAGCGAAAGTACGCTCGCGAGAACAGAAAAAGAAGGCCTGCCCGCTAGGAACCACCGAGGCGGGAGGTGTATCGGGCGCGAAGCCCGAGGTAGCCGAGCTTCCCGCTTCCCGGTTTTGTTGAGACTTGGGAGGTAAGGCGTCCGCCGAGGCCGGCGTTAGAGACAGAAGAAGAGTCGCCTCCTGAAGATCCATGGTCTAGTCGGGTTGTAAGGTCGCCTACACCTATAGAGAGATTTGAGAGATCCCGCTCGAGGCCGCAGCAACGTGGTAGTTGGAAGAAGTGTTGGGTTTGGGTCCCAGAGGGCGGCTTGAGCCCGGTGAGAGACGAAAGTTGTGATCGCGAGGATTCGCGAGTTGACGACGAGATCGCCGAGGAGGAGGTGGAGTTTGAAGGTGAGAGTGTTGATACGGTGATAGGTAAACCTCGTGAATATCGTGCGGTAGCTGTTGATATTGCTTCTGAGGATCCTGGAGGTTCGCCCGAAATGGCATTAGGTGTTGACTTTTCGGCGACCGAGGATTCGATCGCGAGGCAAGCCATAGAGGAGGTCACCGAGCACTCCGCATCCGTCGAGCCGGAGAGCCTCCGTGAGAAGGCCCGTGAGCTTCGGTCCAGGTCAGCTCGGCCCACGGCCAGCCAGGGCTAAGACAAAGAAGGAGTTGAATGAGCCTGGAGACATTGGGCGTGAGTAGTCAGCAGTTGGTGCATTGCGTCGTGCCATTGGTCGTGATCCATCGCGCCAGCGCGAGGGAAAGACTTCGTCCGGATGTGGCTTGAAGCGTGTTGTTGAGGAACTTCCGATCCCGCCTCCGGTGCCGACGAAAGAAGAGATCGAGCAGATTGAGGCTGCAAGGAAGCGTGAATTGGAGAGCCTACCGCCTCCACCGCCGGTGCCTCGTGAGCCACCCATTCCTGTGACCATCTAAGCTGCGTCAAAGGCGAGGTTGACGTAGGAAATTCAGCCTGTTGTGCTTGCTCCACGGCCGAAGGAAAGGCCTCAGCCCATTGATACGGTTGAACCATTGACCTCAGCACGGCCGGCAGAACCCGCACGGCCTCTATCGAGCATGTGGCAGGACAAGCCGTTGATCTTGTTCGATTGACATAAGACGTTGAGTTTTCCTCATCAGCCGGTTCACGAGAGTGCCATTCAGCTACTACGTCGTCTTCAGACGGAGGGCTACGCATTGGGTGTGTTGAGTTTTGCTTCGGCGAGGGAGACGTAAGAGTTGGTATTGTCGGGCGTTGAGGGAATCATTACTAGATTGGATCGGCCGTTCGATATGGTTGCAATCCGCACAAAGTTCATCAAGGACCACGTTCAGAGCCCTTCCATCACTGGCCACACCGGTCCCAAAGCCCAGCTTGTTACGGAGCTTGGTGCATTGGTATTCGTGGACGATCAGGCTTCGTTGTTGTCAGACGTCCGAAGCTGGCAACACCTTGCCTCAAGGGGGCAGGACGCATTTGGTCCTTTCGGGGGTCACACTGGTGGAGGCGTTGGTCCGCTCGAACGAGTGTTGCGGGAGTTTCCGAAAACCGGAGAGCTGCCGAGCGCAAGGGAGCTCGGGAGGATCTTGAGCCGGTGAGCAAGAGAGAAGAACTGGCCAGTGCTGCCCAAGTGCATTTCGCATTGAGTGGATAGACATTGGGTGGTCGATTGTTGCAACGTTGGCAATAAATCTGTCGGCTGGAAGCCAAGTGTCAGGTTGAGTCGGAAGTTGCATTGTGAGTCATTGTATAAGTGATAGTTGGGCGTTGCAACAATGGTTAATAAATCTGGCGGCTAGAAGCCACGTGTCGGGTTGAGGCTGGCGTTGCATCATTGTTGCGCGGAGCAACATTGGTCAATAAATCTATCCGCTATAAGCCATTGAGACTGCTGCTGCACCATATAGAGATCGTGCGTTGATCAAACATTGGTTGAATTGAGGACTTTTCATTGGTTGGTGGTGGAACATTATTTCTTGTCTTAGGCCAGAGTTCGTGCTACCTTCGCGTCTGGTTCCCGCCCTCTGGACCGACGGGACTCGTTCATCGCGTTTCGCGGTGTCGAGACAGTGTTTGTTGTTGGTTGGAGCGTTTGTGAACAAACAATCTGTGGTCAGTTGAAAGTCCTTCAACTGGATTGGGTCGAATTTTGAATGTGTTGAGGTTGAGTTGATTGCTTCAGTTAAGAGTCGTTGCATTGCACCGGACAGTCAATGTCCAAACGGTCGCTTCCTGCAACACCCTTTCGTGTCATCGGTCCTGAAGGCTCCTACGAATCCATTTCTCCGGAGACTGAAGGATAGCAAAGGAAAGGAAAAGAAAGGCAAGGATGGTGCTTCATCGTCCTCTGTGCCATCAGCGGCCTCGCTGCGGCCGCATCCGCTGTGACCATCACTGAGGTCAATGCGAAGGAGGTCATGGACATTTGAAAAAGCTTTTGTGAGTTTGCTTGAAAGGCTCAAGGTCAGCATCCCCATCCTTGCGTCCGTTGTCAACTCCATGGTTGAGGACCCGTGCATTGGTCTTGAGCAAGCTGCAGGTATGTTGGATCGGACTGTTGAGGATTTTCGCAACTTGTGGCTTGAGTTCATTAGTGATACGGGCGCTGCACATGACATTCGGTCGTTTAAGGCGCTTGCCCATCAGGGTTTTGACCGTCAGATGTTGAAGTGTTTCCATAAACCCTGTAAACTTTTCCACGGTAGGAGGACCCCAAACTTCCTTGGAGGCGCTTCGCACATGGGTAAGATGAACCTCCACTTGTTGAAGAACTGGCCATATCGATTGGCAAATAGGTCAGCAAAGGCGGCACCTTCGTTTGGGAGCATGGCAAAGTTCCGTTCATTGCTCTTGATCACAAGAGGCTGGTATCCCACAAGGGTTCAGAATGATGTGCCCATCTGCTCGTTGCACCCGTCAGGAGGTCCA